TCTCATTGCGGACTTTGTCCGATGGTAACTACAAGAAATAACAAGCCATGCATGGCACAGTCCCCATTAGTTATCAAATTTAAGATATATAGTTTTGTTTATAGTAATATAGCTGGAATATAACCATTTCAGGAAAATGATTGACATTTGTATCTGATCGTCAAACAAGTACTTGTCCATATTGAGAAATATTGCTCTGGAACAGCATTCAAAATCAGCCATTTTGAATACATTATATATATATAAAGTCTTAACTCCTGATGAGTGAGGTACTCCATGTATCTTACGAAACAGTACTGTAGAGTGAACTTTACTCATGTAGTCGTGTCTTAATTTCTCTGTCCACGTATGTATATATATACACATGTATATAACATGATGTATAACGAATATATAAAATTTGAATATAATCAGTGAAAGCAAGTCAGAGATGTGGCTCTCGAAGCCCAATCATTAAAACAAAATGGCCGCCAGTCAGCTATTTTGAATCCAATCTGAAAAATAAAATGACGTGCATCAGGAACATGTAATGTCTAATGTATGTTATACGTTTGAACAAAATCCATCCATAAATGCTTGATATTTGATGATTTTTTTAGCACAAAAATGGCCACCATTCGGCCATTTTGAATAGGATTGTCAAACCAATATATCTGTATATCTATGACATGATGTATAATGAATATTTAAAATTTGAACATAATCAGTGAAAGCAAGTCAGAGATATGGTACGAGAACCACATTCATTAAAACAAAATGGCCGCCAGTCAGCCATTTTGAATCTAAACTGAAAAACAAAATTATGTGCATCAAGGTCCTATAATGTCTAACGTATATACCAATTTTGAACAAAATCCATCTGTAAACAGCCGAAAAATGCTTGATTTTGATGATTTTTAGCACAAAAATAGCCGCCATTCAGCCATCTTGAATCAGATCGTGAAACAAATTGATGTGCATATGTATAATTGTGATTGGTTCAGACATTTCTAAGATACAGGTCCGGACGCATGCACAGACACACGCACGGACACCAAAACATAAGTCCCCGTTTTTGGACTGCGTCTGAACGGGGACTAATAAGCAAGCCATGAAAATTTATTACAAAGAATGCATTCTGGAAGTTATGTTAATACTTATTGAGGATGTATATTATTTATTTGGCAAAGAAAACTAAGATAATACCTTCTCTTAGTGACCAGTCCATGCCCATTTCCAAGGCTTCTTCAAGATCTCTGGCAATAAAGAGAAAAATACAAATCTGATGTCAAAAAGTTCAGTTAGTGATTGCTAAACAATATAATACATACACCCTGACAATGCATAGACTGACTGACCTTGCAGTCATTGGTATAACACCTTTAGATCCAACTCCTACTGGTATGTGATCAAACATAGACTGTGCAAGTTGTTCTTTCACTGGTTGCACATCTTTCTCACAAAGATTAGTTCTCAGAAGTCTCACACCACAGTTGATATCAAATCCAACCCCACCCGGTGATACCACTGAATCTGGGTTACTCATATCAAAGGCAGCCATATTGCCTGAAATGAAAAAAACACTTATGGTGATACCACAGCAACCGGCATAATCAAAGGCAACCATTGTGTTTACTCACCACAATGTAATGTGTTTACTCACCACAGTGTGTTGTGTTTACTCGCCACAGTGTGTCGCGTTCTACTAGCCACACTGTGTCGCGTTCTACTCGCCACACTGTGACGCATTCTACTCGCCACACTGTGACGCATTCTACTCGCCACAATGTGTTGTTCTACTCGCCACAATGTGTTGTTCTACTCGCCACAATGTGTTGTTCTACTCACCACAATGTGTTGTTCTAGTCACCACAATGTGTTGTTCTAGTCACCACAATGTGTTGTTCTACTCACCACAATGTGTTGTTCTACTCACCACAATGTGTTGTTCTACTCACCACAATGTGTTGTTCTACTCACCACAATGTGTTGTTCTACTCACCACAATGTGTTGTTCTACTCACCACAATGTGTTGTTCTACTCACCACAATGTGTTGTTCTACTCACCACAATGTGTTGTTCTACTCATCACAATGTGTTGTTCTACTCACCACAATGTGTTGTTCTACTCACCACAATGTGTTGTTCTACTCACCACAATGTATTGTTCTACTCACCACAATGTGTTGTTCTACTCACCACAATGTGTTGTTCTACTCACCACAATGTGTTGTTCTACTCACCACAATGTATTGTTCTACTCACCACAATGTGTTGTTCTACTCACCACAATGTGTTGTTCTAGTCACCACAATGTGTTGTTCTACTCACCACAATGTGTTGTTCTACTCACCACAATGTGTTGTTCTACTCACCACAATGTATTGTTCTACTCACCACAATGTGTTGTTCTACTCAGCACAATGTGTTGTTCTACTCACCACAATGTGTTGTTCTACTCAGCACAATGTGTTGTTCTACTCAGCACAATGTGCTGTTCTACTCGCCACATTGTGCTGTTCTACTCGCCACAATGTATTGTTCTACTCGCCACAATGTATTGTTCTACTCGCCACAATGTATTGTTCTACTCGCCACAATGTATTGTTCTACTCGCCACAATGTGTTGTTCTACTTGCGTTGTGTTGACTCGCCACAATGCGTTGTGTTGACTCGCCACAATGCGTTGTGTTGACTCGCCACAATGCGTTGTGTTGACTCGCCACAATGCGTTGTGTTGACTCGCCACAATGCGTTGTGTTGACTCGCCACAATGCGTTGTGTTGACTCGCCACAATGCGTTGTGTTGACTCGCCACAATGCGTTGTGTTGACTCGCCACAATGCGTTGTGTTGACTCGCCACAATGCGTTGTGTTGACTCGCCACAATGCGTTGTGTTGACTCGCCACAATGCGTTGTGTTGACTCGCCACAATGCGTTGTGTTGACTCGCCACAATGCGTTGTGTTGACTCGCCACAATGCGTTGTGTTGACTCGCCACAATGCGTTGTGTTGACTCGCCACAATGCGTTGTGTTGACTCGCCACAATGCGTTGTGTTGACTCGCCACAATGCGTTGTGTTGACTCGCCACAATGCGTTGTGTTGACTCGCCACAATGCGTTGTGTTGACTCGCCACAATGCGTTGTGTTGACTCGCCACAATGCGTTGTGTTGACTCGCCACAATGCGTTGTGTTGACTCGCCACAATGCGTTGTGTTGACTCGCCACAATGCGTTGTGTTGACTCGCCACAATGCGTTGTGTTGACTCGCCACAATGCATTGTGTTTACTCGCCACAATGCGTTGCGTTTACTCACCACAATGTATTGTTCTACTCACCACAATGTGTTGTTCTACTCACCACAATGTGTTGTTCTACTCACCACAATGTGTTGTTCTACTCACCACAATGTGTTGTTCTACTCACCACAATGTGTTGTTCTACTCACCACATTGTATTGTGTTTTACTCACCACAATGTATTGTGTTTGCTCACCACAATGTATTGTGTTTACTCATCGCAATGTGTTGTTCTACTCACCACAATGTGTTGTTCTACTCACCACAATGTGTTGTTCTACTCACCACAATGTGTTGTTCTACTCACCACAATGTGTTGTTCTACTCACCACAATGTGTTGTTCTACTCACCACATTGTATTGTGTTTTACTCACCACAATGTATTGTGTTTGCTCACCACAATGTATTGTGTTTACTCACCACAATGTGTTGTTCTACTCACCACAAGGTGTTGTTTACTCACCAAAATGTGTTGTTTACTCACCACAATGTGTTGTTCTACTCACCACAATGTGTTGTTCTACTCACCACATTGTATTGTTCTACTCACCACAATGTATTGTTTACTCACCACAATGTATTGTGTTTACTCACCACAATGTATTGTGTTTACTCATCACAATGTGTTTTTCTACTCACCACAATGCATTGTGTTTACTCACCACAATGTGTTGTTCTACTCACCACAATGTATTGTTCTACTCACCACAATGTATTGTTCTACTCATCACAATGTGTTGTTCTACTCACCACAATGTGTTGTTCTACTCACCACAATGTGTTGTTCTACTCACCACAATGTATTGTTCTACTCACCACAATGTATTGTGTTTAATCACCACAATGTGTTGTTTACTAACCACAATGTGTTGTTCTACTCACCACAATGTGTTGTTCTACTCACCACAATGTATTGTGTTTAATCACCACAATGTGTTGTTTACTAACCACAATGTGTTGTTCTACTCACCACAATGTATTGTGTTTACTCACCAATTGCAAACCCATACCCAGAGTGTACATCAGGGAGACCAACAGATTTGTGTACAATACCAGGTAATGCTGCTACATTAGCAATCTGTTTCATGCCAGGTAAAAATCCACCCATTCCTGTAAAACACAAAATGATTAATTGATGCTATAGCAATATTTGCATACAATATTTGCATACAATAATGACTGCAGGTGTAGATAACAATGGTCTTTGTCTCTTTGTATGCCATTAACCTTTTCACCACCAGACATTCTCGACCAAATTTTTCTGCACTTTTTTTCTTATATTTTTCAATATTTTTAGAAATGAACTCTAAGTTTGAAGCCAACAGACAATCTGAGCCAATTTTAAGTTTTTACTCAAGAAATTTGGCTATTTTTGTCCCAATCATCTGACTATAAACAGGACTAATTTGTGAATATGTGATGAAAATAAGTAATTGGTGGTAAAAAGGTTAAAATCATGTCCATTATTGACATAGTAAAATATTACAAATCACTGTCAGAGATAAAGTGACATTGATCAAAATCATTAATTTGTCAGTTTTACAATGAAACTACCATAAAAATCATAGAATAATATAAAATAATAGAAGCTGCAATCCTAACTTGAGACATTGTTTCTTGTTCAAATTGACAAGTTTTGATCCCAGGGAAACCCTGCAATATAAAGCCACACCCCAAACTTTCACAAACCAAACAGCCACCACATATTTCAGGAACAGATATACCATTAAATTAAGGCATTTTTCGAATACTTCAATCTTTCCTGATGCCTATATTAGAATCTAATTTAGCGTTAATGGGTAAACTGCTTTTCAACACTGAGTTGTTCTAATTTTTAAAAGTGTTAAATTCTTCTTCAATGCTCAGTTTATCTTTTGAGAACAACTAATTTCTTGATTAAAAAAAAAATCACGCCATTTTCCCATCAAAATCGCACTAAAACAACAGTAACTCTCTACCGTGTTGCGTTCACCATGAAGTCGCTGAAGTGTTATTAACATATTTAAATGAGATATGGTAATTCAAACACGTTCGCACCATCCAGCATTTCGATTGCTTAATTAGCCACTTGAGCTAAAAGGTCAAAGAATAGTTTCAAGTCACATGGACAAACATGGCGGATATCGTATTGGATCAAGCGTTTACATGTGACCGAAATCATTCGCTTGCGGTGAAACTAAGTTGAATTTTACTTTCATTTCATAACAATTCAACAAATTTATTTTTTGTACATTATTATAATCATTACTGAGTAATAATCAAAAATTTAAATTTGAAAACAAGTAAGTTATTCACTTGCGCTACTGTTATCATTTGCTACTAAGCAATGCATTTGGTTATGTTTTTATTCAAAACTTCTTTTAAAATATACTTTTCGTTACTATCAAAATTAAGGAAATAAAAGCATATTACATTAAATATACTGAGTACTGTTAAAGGGTTAATTATTCACTGGGTTTTAATTTTAATTATTTCACTGACAGGAAAATGCGCTAAATTAAAACCCAGTGAATATGTAAAATTGAGCATAGAACACATTATTTAAATGATAAAACCGTGAATTCAAAACCCACCAAATATGTCTGAAATGTTAAATCAGTGACATTTAAACCCAGTGAAAATTAGTCATTTTACAGTATTTTTTTGTTATCATGTGAACGGCTTTTTTTTGATTAACTGTAATTTTTCAACATTGCGTGATGTACTCCTATTTCTAAATTAAGGCTTTGAACTCTTCCCTGACATACTAACGGATTACAGTGATGTCTATTCAAGAGATTATACGGCACCGTAACCTGCAAATGTGTATTTAGTGTGTATTTATTTTGTGTACACGTTTGTCTGTCTGTGAAAATCCAAAAGTGTGCTTAGAATTGCAACAAAGTTACAATTCAATGTTGTGCATCTCACTGTTACTGAAGTGTATGCTCTAATTAAAGCTACACTAAGACTTCACGCATCCAAAAGCACCCATTAAAGAAATGGATTTTAATTAATGCGGCGGCCTCAATTAGGATTTACGATAGTGCTTTTATTTTTTGAAAAAAATCTGACAAAAACCTAACCAATCCACGAGCAAGTTATAAACTGGCATATGCAATAATAAACAAGTCATTGAAAATGACACAGTCCCCATTAAATTTTTGGAAGTTCTCTTTGTGCTCGTCATATTAAAGCGGAGGGGTTATCACGAGCATGTCCGTGAAACTAGAGTTCCAAGTGGCGTATACAACAGATTGTTTATTTACATCAAAACACGTGATCCGTGTAGTAGTAATATGGCCAAAAATAAAAACCGCTGTTATTCAGTCATGTTTGATCTGATTATGAAACACACTGATATGTATGATATATGTGCCAAATACAAATGAAAATCATACATAAATTATGGAAATATAGTAGTAAGGCCAAAAAGTCAGATGGCTGTCAATCGGCCATCCGTGACCAGATTTTGAAACAAATTGTTATGGACATGCATCATAACATGTATAAAGTACATGTATGTGCCAAATTTGAATGAAAACTGACAGAGCACGTCCAAGATACAGCATAAAAAAAAAAAAAAAGATGCCTGCCAGTCGAACATCTTTGATCCAATTGCAAAATAAATCATCATGGACATGTATCCTAACATGTATAATCTATGTACCAAGTTTGAATGACAACTGACAAAGCGTGTCTAAAATACAACATTTTTAAAAAACAAGATGGCTGTAAGTCAGCCATTTTGAATCGAATAGCTAAACCACTGCATGTGCATATGTCGCACATAAAGTACTAGGCACATGCAAAGAATGAACGGAATCAGTCCAAGAGATTCTGAGATATGACTCCGGACGGACGCACGGACGAGCACACGGAGACCAAATTACAAGTCCGAACGGGGACTAACAAGCCATGCATGGCACAGTCCCTGTTAGTTATCAAATTTAAGATATGTAGTTTTGTTTAAAGGAATATAGCTGGAATATAAATATGTCAGGAATATGATTACGATGATGATTGTTTAAGGCCAGACTTTTTTTAATCCTTGTATCTCAAGTTTTTATAAGGCAATTTTTTTGAGGAGGGCGGAAAAAAAATAAAAAAAAAAAATTTTCCCCATTAGATTTGTGTGATTCTCAAAGAATTGTAAGTGAGATCATTGATCGGAGAGAAGAAATGAATTAAAATTTTATTCCATGTATAACCTTGTTCCTAATCTGCGCGAGACTTCGGTGCTTTGATACTCCCACGAAAATGCAACTTAGATTTGGTATGCGGTGGGCGGTAAAAAAATGAAGATAAATATAAAAAATTTTTAGCAATTATTTGCGCTTGCAAGTCGACGGGCGCGAGAAATTATGCTGAAATAGAATTTTATTTTTATTTCAATTTCAGCTCCTGTTCATTCGGCGGGTTCGCGAAACATGTCATAATAAAAGTCTGGCCTAACATTTAAATGATTGAAATTTGTATCTGATCATCAAACGAGTATTGAGAGATATTGCTCTGGCACAGCATTAATTAAAACAAAATCAGCCATTTTGAATACATGTATAATAAATATTTAAAATTTGAACATAATCAGTCACAGCAAGTCAGATTTATGGCACTAGAACCACATTCATTAAAAACAAAATGGCTGCCAGTTGGCCATTTTGAATCTTATCTGAAAAACAAAATGACGTGCATCAAGGTCCCATAATGTCCAACGTATATATACCAAGTTTGAACAAAATTTATCTGTAAACAGCTGATAAATGCTTGATTTTGATGATTTTTTAGCACAAAAATGACCACCATTCGGCCATTTTTAATAGGATTGTCAAACCAATATATCTGTATATCTATGACATGATGTATAATGAATTTTTAAAATTTGAACAATTAGTCACAGCAAGTCAGAAATATGGCACTAGAAGCACATTCATTAAAACAAAATGGCTGCCAGTCGGCCATTTTGAATCTTATCTGAAAAAAAAAATGATGTGCATCAAGGTCCAATTTGAACAAAATCTATTTGTAAACAGCCGAGAAATGCTTGATTTTGATGATTTTTAGAACAAATTCGGCCATTCGGCCATCTTGAATCAGATCGTGAAACAAATTGATGTGCATATGTATAATATCATGTATGTGTGAAGTTTGATTGTGATTGGTCCAAGCATTTCTAAAATACAGGTCCGGACCCACGCAAGCACTGAGGTCAAAACATAAGTCCCCGTTTTCGGACTGGGTCCGAATAAGGACTAAAAACATGAATATTCATTTGGAAGGCATGAAATTCCATCAGTATTGCATGCATGCATACATAGGCTACAAAATTGTTTTCATAGACAGTTTTGGAGTTTTTGTTTCTCAAATTTCGTTAGTTTAGATAACTTTCATGTGTTCGACTAAGTACATATCAGCCATTTCAGAGATCACATTGGCAAGGTCTATCTACCTTAATATAATATAATTTTTGAGACTCACCAGGATTTCTGCAAGCATTTCTCAGCTCATCAAACATTAACCGTTCAAGGACATCATTCACATAAAAACAACCTTCAACCTAGGAAGACAAACATGCAATCAGATACATTGGTGGCCTCTGGAGACCAGAGTAATGTCAAGTGTTCAGTCACAAGAGTACATTCAAAGCTATGGAGGTCAGTAGGCAGTCAGGTAGTCAGTGAGGTGGGTACATTGGTATCCCATAGAGTCCATTAATACCAGTTATGTCAGGTAGTGAGTGAGGTGGGTACATTGGTATCCCATGGAGTCCATTAGTACCAGTTATGTCAGGTAGTCAGTGAGATGGGTACATTGGTATCCCATAGAGTCCATTAGTACCAGTTATGTCAGGTAGTGAGTGAGATGGGTACATTGGTATCCCATAGAGTCCATTAGTACCAGTTATGTCAGGTAGTCAGTGAGGTGGGTACATTGGTATCCAGTGGAGTCCATTAGTACCAGTTATGTCAGGTAGTGAGTGAGGTGGGTACATTGGTATCCCATAGAGTCCATTAATACCAGTTATGTCAGGTAGTGAGTGAGGTGGGTACATTGGTATCCCATAGAGTCCATTAATACCAGTTATGTCAGGTAGTGAGTGAGGTGGGTACATTGGTATCCCATAGAGTCCATTAATACCAGTTATGTCAGGTAGTCAGTGAGGTTGGTACATTGGTATCCAGTGGAGTCCATTAGTACCCATCACCTCACTAGAAAGGCACATTTTGTAGATTTCAATATCAAAACAGGCCTTAAATTCAACTGATTAAAAAAACTTGGATACCAATATACAGTACCAATACCTCAGAGATGAGGGTCACTAACATCTAATTAGCATACTTATAACACCAAATTTCAAATCAGTATGCTAAAATTGCTATAAAACAAGTCATTGTCAATGACACGTCCCCGTTCCGTTCATATTTGAGTGACATATACATTCAAAGCAGATCATGACCGAAATGCACCTGCATATGTACAACACATTGTGCTAAATCTGAACAAAATCCATCCATGCATGACTGAGATCCGGTTCTGGAATTGTGAAAATATGTGATTTTGATGCATTTTCGGCCATAAAATGGCCATCATTCCGCTATTGTTAAGCAGATCATGAAACAAATGCACATATCTATTTGTGACATGATGTACCATGTGTGTGTGAAGTTTGAACTTGATCAATCCAGACATGTCTTGGATACGGATCCAGAACTGAATTCTTTAACAAAATGGCCACCAGTCGGCTATTTCGAACTTGATCCGAAAAAAAAAATGACGTGCATCAAGGTCTATTATGTTTAATGTATGTACCAAATTTGAATGAAATCCGTCCATGCATAACTGAGATCCGGGTCCGGAATGGTGAAAATGTGCGATTTCAATGCATTTTCGGCCTTAAAGCGGCCGCCATTTGGCTATCGTTAATGAGATCATGAAACAAATGCACATACATATTTGTGACATGATGTACCTTGTGTGTGTGAAGTTTGAACTCGATCAATCCAAGCATGTCTCAGATACGGATCCAGAACTGAATTCTTTAAAACAAAATGGCCGCCAGTCGGCCATTTCGAACCCGATCCAAAAAAAAAAATGACGTGCATCAAGGTCCTATTATGTTTAATGTATGTACCAAATTTGAACAAAATCCGTCCATGCATAACTGAGATCCGGGTCCGGAATGGTGAAAATGTGCGATTTTGATGCATTTTCGGCCTTAAAATGGCCGCTATTCGGCTATCGTTAATCGGATCATGAAAAAAATGCATGTGCATATGTCCCATATAAGGTGTGATGTATGAGTGAAGTTTGAACTTAATCGGTCCATGCATGTTCGAGATACAGGTGATCACGGACGCACGGACGCACGGACGCACACAGGGCAAAACATAAGTCCCCGTTTTCGGACTGCGTCCGAACGGGGACTAAAAAGTATTGTTTTAGCTAGAAATGAATTTACAAGTTAATAGGTGTACCATTCATTCAGTGATAAAGACAGACATATATTTATCCACTGGACAAGTTTGAAATCATTGTAATCCAAGTAATTTATAAATAAAAATGTACCTGCATATTAGGGACAAACCCTTTCTTTATTTTCCAACAGTTCTTATCAATTTTCTCAATAAATTTAAGTTCTTCTTGATATGTTCTTATGGTAGTCATCTTTGTTTAAAACTGAAAATTAAGAAAGTATCAAATGCATTATAATCCTTTTGTCACAATTCATGAACAGCATATTTTTCTTCCAATACACAATGTATATTTTTTTAGATGTTGGTTAATTCCTGTAGCCAAAGTGAAATAATGTCGAAAATTCAAGCAAATTTTTAAACAAGCAGCCTCTCAGTTGAGATACCTCCGCTGTTAGCAATGCACATTTCAATTAAAGAGATGAAGATATTATTAGAAAATGAACAAATTTAATAGAGGTCTACCTGAGGTACATATACACCAAGGATCAAAAATATCACTTTTTACCAAAAATTACAAAAATTAGAGAATTGAATAAATCATCATAAAATGAACAAATCTGAGAAAGTTCTACCTTAGGTACCTAAATGTATAATATCAATGCAATCTAACTTGCGGTTTTTAACAAGAAGTCAAAAATATCACTTTTTACCAAAAATAACAGAAATATTCACCAAAATTAGAGAATTGAAAATATCATCACGAACTGAACAAATCAGAGAGAGTTCCAACTGTAGTACCTAGTAGTATAATATCAAAGTAATTGGCCTTGCGGTTTTCAACAAAAATTCAAAAATATTACTTCTTACCAAAAATATTCATCTAAATTAGGGAATTTAAGATATCATCATGAAATGAACAAATCTGAGAGGGGTCTACTTGAGGTGCCTATATATATAATATCAAAGTAATCTGACTTGCAGTTTTCAACAAGAAGTCAAAAATATCACTTTTTACCAAAAATGCCAAAAATATTCATCTAAATTAGAGAATTGAAGATACATGTACATGTATCATAATGAAATGAACAAACTGAGGAAGTTTCTCCTGAGGTACCGATATGCATAATATCAAAGCAATCAGACTTGTAGTTTTCAACAAGAAGTCGAAAATATCACTTTTTACAAAAAAAAAAAAAAAATATTCACTAAAATTAGAGAATTAATAAAGTTATCATCACAAAATGAACTAATCTAAGAGAGGTCTGCCCGTGATACATATACACCAAGTATCAATTTGAAAGCAATAATTGTAGTTTTCAAGAAGTTGAAAAAGTAAAAATTTGATGCGAAGATTGAACAATCACTCTTAAGATAAGCAATTCAAGTAAAATTCAATAAAGACTGTTTCAGAAAGTATGAATTATATCTATCTACAGAATAACAAAATTATGAGGATACCGCAAAGGATGCATGAAGACAGTACAGCAGGAGTATTAACAGACGCACAGTTTATTCTTTCTCATATCTAGAATCATTTCATTTTTGTGTAGACCTAGAAAACACCGAGAAATGAATAAAATAATCATGGCAGGTAATCAACATATCAACCACAACAGTTATATGTTTATTCACCCCAGTCATCAGAAAGTATTCACTTCCCATTATAAATATTTTGGGAAGCATGATTTGAAACAAAATTTGATTTGAAACAAATCTATAATAAAATACAGAATCTACTTGACATCAGTGAATTTCTTCTAGTGTAAGTAAGATAGCAGACAGTAATTTAAACATAGCTATATCTGTGTGTTATAAAATCAAAGTCAATTACAGAGACATGAACCATGAGTTTAAGTCAATATCTTTGTCATACACATAGATATACCTGACAAAAATAAAAATTCTTTTCCAGCTGCATGCCCCCTTGGCACAACAAAGGCAATTCCTTTCATTTTTATAATTATTGAGATGAATTTCAATAGTAATTGAATCAAATCAGCTCCATTCCTAAGAATTTACTCTGTGTTTACTCATTTGATGCCACATAGTACAGTAATACAGAGACAATAATTACTTATGAGTCATTATCCTAATATCTCACTCAATGAGGATGTACACATACAAATTTATATAGTAGCCAATGTTACAGTAAGGGGCATAACGCTGTGGTTATTAGGAACATTATTATAATTATACATTTTTTCAAATGTTAGAATTAAAATTAACCAATCTGGAAATGGTATTGTGACATCAATGTGTGTAAGACATGAATATGTCCACTACTTTGCACTCTAGTTTTACAATTTGGCCTCTTTTCACAGAAAGTGTGAATAAAGTGTTTCGAAATAGCTTGATGGAAAGGGTATTGTGACATCAATGTGTGTAGACATGAATATGTGGGTGGCCACAGTTGCTATGTCATGTAAAGGCATGTGTGCATTATGGGCATAGAAAGTGTTTAGTTCGTGAGATAATCAATATTTGAATTTGAATGAAAGCTGATGATTGGCTTTTACAAGTTTGTTATAAATACACTGATAAGCAAAGCCCTAACTTTGTGAACTTCACTGTAGATGTCTGCCCTAATGATTGGTTAGGTGAGTATAAACAGTTAAGTAAGGCTATCAATTCAATTTCAGTACGGAAGACTATCAAATTTTACGTATTATTTCAATTAGAATTGAGTTTTTTATTTAATCATTTGAATTCCTTTTGAATATTTGTTTTAGTTTTAATAAGGTTATCATTTTGATAGGACAAAGTTTTGGATGCCTATTGCTACGTTCACACGACAGCATTTTATCGGACTCCTGCGGCTCGAGCCAGCAAAAATGGCCGTGTATACACGTTCGGCTCGAGCCGACTTGAGCCAAGTTTGGCTTCAATAAAGCCTTGGGGTTGAACTTCGATAGGGTTGAGCCCTGACATGGCCCGACTGTGTATACGCAGGGCCCAACTATGGTGAAGACAACATCGTTAGTAACTTCACACAATTTGCGATTTGACGAAGAGGTATGCGCCCTAATATTTATTTTGGCAGAGTAAAGAAATAGTGCGATAGATTGACAGGTCAACAGGAAACAGAAAATGACGTACAAAATTATGCGACAAAAACTTGAAAGAAGGACTGAACAGATCGAATGAAAATTGAAGAAATTTTTGAAAGACATCAGAGAAAAAAATCATAGAAGTGGTCACAGCATGTTCCTAGTAGGTTTAGATTGACAACTGTCACACATATCACAACAGCTGAACAATAACATAGGCTGTAACACATTTTAGCTGCAGTGTTTCCTGTTTATTCAAGATACTAGTACCTAAATCATAACACTAGTTCCTTGTCTTTTCTACCTCCATTGCTCAAACTCGATCGTGACCGTTTCTTTTTTATCCAAGCTCAAAAGCATCGTGCCATGTAAAGAAAGAACACAAGCACGACACCAACATCGTGTTCAGCCATGTTTATTTCATATTACTTATTTGAAGACACTGTTCCGTTAGGCAAAAAAAAAAAAAAAAAAAAAAAACTTGTGTTGCCCTCAAGTCGGAAAATTGAAAAATTGGATCGGGCGGTCGGAATTTTTTGTTTTTAAACTCATGAAAACTAAGGGTATCTTAAATAGCCGAGGTATATGGGAAAAAAACGTGACCCGATATTTCATATTTGAGGGCAACAAAACAATTTCTTTCTCCGACCGTTGAACGCATTGGAGATAATCCCTTGTTAATCTGTGGGAGGAGCAGTAAAGAGCTGCCATGTGAACATAGCATATTAGTCACAAGCAATATTTGTTATTTAATTGATTGGATAAAAGGATCTATGGCCAAGGACTATGTATACTTTTTATTATCACTGAAATGTATAGCCAGTGTAATTTCCTTTACTGTACAGTACTTTCAGAAAAGCAGACTACATATTTTATAACCAATTTATAACATTTACCGAAAAATTCATTCAAACCCAAAAGGAACAAGTGGATGTGCTTCAAAGCCAATCAGACTGGTAGATATGCCTATGTACATGCATAAAAAGGATTGTCCTTTCAGGAGTGAGTATTCTGATTGGTTTATAATTGTTTTATGTTTATAAACCACAAATTTTGTAAACGGCTGTTCTGAAAGCCCTGTATCTGTGAACACCACCATCTTATAATATTTCTCAGAATTTGTAGCAATATCTTTCCATTGTATTTGGAGGAATTAATTTATTTGAAAAAATCGACATAGTTTTTTTGTTTTCTGACCAGCTATCTGAGAAATTTTGTTTGAAATGTACTCACTACCATGTTTTTAACATTCTTTGTCACATTTTTTTGTTTTTGTCATCTGCTCTGTACTGTGGAATACTTTATTTTCGCTGGAATAAATTTTCGCTGAACAGGCTTTTTGGGCGTTTTGCTTGGAATTTTGATGAGTTTAATGTGAAATATAGGAAAAAAAGTATATTCGCTGGATTTTATTTTCACGGAAACATCCCTTCAGCAAAAATAGCGAAAATAAATTCTAAGCGAAAAATTAAAAAAAATTGTTATTATCACACACACAACTGAGTCCATGGTGTAAGGGTCCAGGTAATATCAGAATCAACGAAATAATTATGAGTCTTGAGTTAATAAACAATGGCTATAGTACTCTAGATTGAACTAATTATTTATTTCTTCCTTTAGAACAGTTAAATTGATATATTGTCAGTACATATAGTATTTTGTAGTAGTTACACTGTAATTTGGGTACTACCTCTAAATTGAAGTTTGTAATATGACAAAAAGTCATGGTTTCACCTCGTTTGCGGGATATAGAAGTTACAGATACTTCCATGAGAGATGTGGTGTATCCTGTGGCCATATTTTCACAAGAAAAGTGAGTAAAAATACAGATATACAGTATCATTCATAAAAATAGCTTCCATAATCCACAAACATCTGATGTTGGCAAAGCCATGGCATTCTGTTATATTAAACATATTGCCAGACTGTACTAAAATCACAAGAATAGTTGTAACCACTTCATGTAAGATGTTTGTACACAGGCAGTAAACAAATTTAATTTCTGTCAAATGATTAGTTGACTTGGTGTTCTATTCTTATGAAAATGACACCACAGATCAAACACAGATTATCAGAGGCACATAATTTGGGTTTGACATTGAATCGTTTTGCTCTGCACTGCGAAGGCGGCTCATCTGCATAATTTGTTGTGAAATTATTACATGAATATGTTAATTTACATAGTTATATGAAAGCCTCCACA